GGAGAGGAACAAAAATGGAGTAAACGAGTTGACAAAACCGAATTGGAAAAACTACAAAGCGAAACAACGTTGAAATTATAAGAAAAAATAAGTTTACTATCGCGATTTTATTTGTATTTTTTGTTAAAATAAAGATAAACTTGGATAAGTAATAAACAAATAGACAAGTGTCTTAACACAAAGAGGTTTTGTTTTTATCATTATAGTCCCCCCAATATCGGTATTTACCCACCTCTAATCCTTGCCCTTGGTCAATAATGTAAATGAATATTGACCACTAAGAAAGAAAACCAACTTTACAACCTTTCGATCAGCTAAATAATTTTACTTTTTGCAACTAGTTCAATTATTCCGAAAATAACACGATTAGGAATTAGGAATAAAGCTTATTTCGATACCAAAACGGATGCTTTAATGAGCCATTTCAACACCAATTCGGGTGCTGAAATAGACTAGTACAATTTACTTTCTAGAAGTTGGTAATCGTGATTTTCAGCGGCGTTTTGAGCAATTTCTCTTATTTCAGGTGGTGCGCATAAAATATTTGCAGCATTCATTGTTAATTCAACAAAATTTTAAAGAATATTCAAGACTTGACACTTCGAAAATTGTAATTTTCAAACTTTGTGACATTTATAAACCTGAACTCGTTCCACAAAACTTACGAAACGCGTTCTTTATTAATATATTTACTATTTTTTCACAAGTTTTTTCCACGTTGCATTTAAAATGAATTAACCATATTTTTATCACTACAATGATAGTGGGTATGTTTATTTACTACCTTACAAAGCGATCATTAGTTTTCTACGGTATTAAACGACGCAACACTTTAAAATTTAAATGTAAATAATTAAAATGCCTAAAAAACTAATTTTTTGTTAAAATTCGACTAACATTTCACTAGTATGGCAAATCGCAAAGGTATGTTATGATTAAAAAAAATAAAATAAAACATATTGTTTAATACAGAGTATTTAACATGCACACGCATTTTGGCAATTATGGTCATCCTGTGTTACATTTTCCAATACATGAGCAGAATCAACATGTCAATAGCAATAGTGGACATGACCTCCAACAGCACCCAATTCAACTGGACGAAGAACCAAAAACACGACATTCTGGGTTCACTTTTTTGGGGCTTTGTTTTCGGCCCTATTCCAGGAGGCCGTCTTGCTGAAATCTATGGTGCCCGGATTGTTCTAACCGTAGTAATGTTCCTGAATGGTTTTTTAACACTACTCACCCCACCTGCGGCCTATTTGAACTATTACTGCCTGTGGTGTGTCAGATTTGGGGTGGGTTTAAGCGCGGGAGCAGCCTTTCCAGCCGTTTTTCCCATTGTACCAAAATGGATTCCTGCCAAAAATATCTCAAAATTCATGTCTCATATACTAGCCAGTCAGGTCGGTTTAACACTGACGCTGAGTTTTTCCGGCATTTTGATCGACTATTGGGGGTGGCCTTGTGTGTTTTATATAAGCGGGAGTATGACTATGTTGGGGTCGTTTTCCTGGTTTTATCTGATTTATGATTCACCTCAAAAACATCCAAGGATTAAAAAGGACGAATTGGAGAAACTCGAAAAGGAAATCGCTAAGACAACAGTGAAGAAACGAAGTCCTTGGCCAAAAATATTAACGTCGAGGCCTGTTTGGGCTTTCATTGTTTCATATTCTGGTGTCCTGTTCAATGTTAATACTGCCGTCAATTACCTTCCGTTATATTTGGACCAAATTCTCAATTTCGATATTAAAACAAACGGGGGATTATCTGGTTTGCCCTTTTTAGGTAAAATTTGTACTTAAAAATGCTCACAATTTATTAGAAATTTTTCTAGCAACTTATTGTACAGCTGTTTTTACTTGCTGCTTAGCTGATAGATGGCGAAGACTGAACACATTTTCTGTTTTTACAATACGAACAATTTTCGCCGGAACTCTTTTCTGGGGTTGTTTCACAGTACTCACCATTTTGTCTTTTTGGGGTTACAACCGAATTGTCGCAATTGTTGCGTTAATACTCTGGCAAGCTTTTTGCGGTTTGTCGAGTGCTGCGATACTCTCCAACGTAATGGATTTTGCACCAAATTACTCAGGAAGCATTAATGGAATATCTGCCACTTTTGGCGGTTTCGCTGGTTATTTGTCAACAAAGCTCTTTTCCGCTTTTGTCAAAAACGAACACAGTTTTGAACAATGGCAATTTCTGTTTTGGATATTAGCATGTGCTAATGTTGTATCTTTTTTAGTTTTTATTTGTTTCGGGACTTCGGAATTGCAGGAATGGAATTCAAACAGGGTTGATGAAGAAACGGAGGCAACAGAACAAATAAAATTAGATTGTTAGGTAGTACATGGAATGGGCCGATAAAAGTTTATCACGCCTAAAAATTTTAAGAAATTCTAGAGTAGGTATATTTTGCTTAAGACTAAATAAGCAATATTTCTACACCTTTTTCAAGTGTAATTCAGAAAGCGTAAGATATGTTTCAGAAAACGTTAATTGTAATTCAGATTAGATAATTTAATTTCAGAAAGAGTAAATTGTAATTCAGATTAATCAATTGTATTTCAGAAAGTGTTAATTGTAATTCACAGTTTGTCATTTCATTTGTAATTGAGAATTCGACAATTGTAATTCAAAATTTGTTATTTTCATTTAAAAATCCCTTAGAAAATAAAATATCTTATTTATTTTATAAAATACCAAGTTTATGTAATTCTTTAATTTTGAAAATAAAATAATTCGTGTTTTTGTGTAAACTTCATTTTGAGAAAACAGTAAGTTACTCAACTGAATTTCAATTGATATTTTCTGAATTACATGTAACATGAAATTAAATTTACTGTTCTGTTATAACTAATACTTTTTGAAATACAATTGACTAATCTGAATTTCAATTTACGCTGTCTGAAGTTAAATTAATTAATCTGAATTACATCTGATGGTTTCTGAAATTCAGTTTACGGTTCTGAATTACAATTAATACTTTCAGAAGTAGTAGTAAGTAGTAAGAAATATATCTTACGCTTTCTGGTGTAGTTCCATTATAATTAAAATACAATCTTTGTTAAAAAATTAAATTTTATTTCAGACGTGAAACAACCTTTAACTATTATTTATTAAACAGTTTTTTTAACTAAAATTGCTGAGTCACAACTATTCTATTTTAACTTTTAGAAAACAAACTGGATTTATTATTTTTCTCATTATTATGATGACAATAATAAAATTGAAAACCCAAAGAGGAAATGAGTATTCAACTTTAACGATGATATATCATATACGAGTATGATCTAATCATTTATTAAATTTAATGGAAAAAACGGAAATAGCAGATATTTTAAATCCATAACAATTTTCGTGATAATCATAAATTTCAAGAATATTTCAATCAGATAGCAATGATAGTAAATGTAATGTAAATTATATAACACATTAATTACTTCAAAAACTAGCAATAATGAATTTATGAAAGTAATTGTAAATAATGACACTTAGAACCAGTTATCTGTATTTAATACCAAATTTAAACAAAATCATCAACTGTCACAATCTATTATTTTTACTGATAACAATTGCTGCTGGTTCATCCACGACGCAACCAGATGTTTAAATTATTAGTAATTCCAACACTCCTACTCCCAACATCAGTCCAAACGAAAGCTTCCTAACAAGTAGGTAAATAACACAAAAAATGGATTTCAAAGTGTGGCCAATCAATGGTAAGTTTTTATTTGCTTTCGTACATAATATAGTTTTTTTAACCAATTAACGGCTTTTAAAATAATTTAAAAACAATAATTGTGTGACCCTGAAATGCCGTTGAACTTTACAACTCTAATAAACAAAAACTCTGTTTAATTACATCTTTCGCAGATTCTATACAGTGTCAACAGTTGACGGCCGAATATGTGGACGAGACTCTAAATTTAATAGACATTTCCTTTTTCCGGTACGAAAACGTAAGCAAAGTTCTTGAGATCGCAAAAGATCCAGAAGCTTTAAAAGAACTTCGCCAATTAACCTCAGCAGCGGCCAAAGATGGAGTAACGCTCATAGCAATCGACAAGACTAAGAACAAAGTTGTTGGTGCGGCCTTAAATAAGCTACAAGTACTCAACCCAGAACGTAATTTATAACAAAAGTGATATTTTCGTTTCAGGTGAGGGACAATCCAGCCTTTGAAACCCTTTCCAAATCCTGGAAAAATCCCAAATCAAAAGCCATCGTTCAACTGATGGTCGAAATCGACAGCCTTTGCAATCTTTTTGACCACTGCAAAACCGACTGCATATTAGAATTAATGTTTCTGACGACCTTGCCGGAGTACAGAGGTCAAGGCATTGGACTAAAACTCGCTGAGGCGACTCTCGACGTTGGTAGAAGTTTACTGAAAGGAACCAACGTCAAGAAGCCTGTAGATGGGCAAAAACTTAGTCTAGAACCAGCACCGAAAATCGTTTCTGCCATCTTCACCACCATCATCACGCAAAAAATCGGAAGGAAACTGGACTGGACGATTGTGGCTAAAAAGGACTTCGAGGAGTTTGAGTTTGAGGGCAAAAATTTTGGGACGGTTATTGGCAAGGAGACGCCCACTGTTACATTGGAATATAAGAGTTTGTTGTAAGAATAAGACATTCTGTTTTTGCTCAGCTCAAGATTCGTATATTTTATAAATTAATTAAAGATTATTACGTTTTGAGGATCGATATGGTGCATCAATCTCCTTGTATCTGTCATAAAAAATTATCTTGAAAAAAAATTACATAAAACCGATCATTCATCATCTTCGTATTCTTCGTGCAGGTGGTGGCATCATCTCACTATCGTCGTCAAATCTATACCTTTCAATATAATCCAACAACTTTTCTTTAGTTATAGGATTACTAATGCTGCCACAAACGGCTAAAAAATTTGATCATAACAGAAACATAACACAAAGCGACAAAAAAAAGTCATGTCGTGACAACTTGACATATTTTATATCATTTTGTTCGTCTCAGTGAGACAAATCAAATGCACTAAAAAAAATTTCAAAAAGTCTACACACTTTGAACAAAATATTTTTTTTTCTAATTTAAATGAATTTAAAATACTTTAACTTTAAAAAATCATTACTCAATAACTATTAGGCCGATTCCCTTCAGATAAAGACCATTTTAAAGGGATGGAATTGCCCTTTAGAATGATATGCAATTTGAAATTGAATATTGGCAAACTTTTTTTCGAACAGTGTTCGAAGAAGTTCGAAGTAAATCGAAGTAATCTAAGAAAAACCCTACGAGTAATTTTTTTTTCTTCGTCACCATCGTGTAGAGCATCTTTTTATTAGTAAGAATCCAAATTTTTAAAATAATATACCGAGTAGTTTTCAAGATATGATTTTTTGAAGTTAAAGTTTGCTATTCAGGTATTGCGCCATATCGGAGAAATGCATGTTAATCTTACTTAAAATTGCATTTTTATAAAAGTATTTGTTTTAAGGCTCTGCTTTTGCTTAAAAATGGTCAATTGCGCCTTCTTTGTTCTAATTAGAATAAACAAAAACTGTTTCTTTATTTAAAACAAACAAAGAGCACCTGCGTACTAATTAAAGCAAATAAAGAGTTTTTTTGTTCTAAAAATGATCACTGATCATTGAGCAAAAAGGATCTAGAAGTTTAAAGCAGTAGCTTTAAATATAAGAACAAATCTTTTTCAAATTAAATGACTTTCCATTCAGATTCCAACTTGTTCACTTTGTTCTAGCTTTCTGAACTTTTTTTTGAAAATGTTCTCAGCAAATGCTTTTTCATCACTTTCTACTGACGTTGAATGCAATAAGTCAGTGGCTTCGTGTGCAACTGTTATCACAACAACTACTACCTACAACCTAACTGAAGCTAATCGTAGAATGTACCAACAAAATAAATCAGGTGACTTATTGCATTTAACATCACTCGAAAGTGATGAGAAAGCATTTGCTTAGAACATTTTCAAAAAAAAAGATAGAACAAAGTGAACAAGTCAAAATCTGAATGGAAAGTGATTTGATTTGAAAAAGATTTGCCCTTATATTTAAGACTCGTGCCTTAAACTTCTAGATCCTCTCTACTCAATGATCAATGGTCATTTTTACAACAAAAAAACTCTTCATTTGCTTTAATTAGTACGCAGGTACTCTTTATTTGTTTTAAGTAAACAAACAGTTTTTGTTTATTGTAATTAGAAGAAAGAAGATGCAATTGACCATTTTTAAGCAAAAGAAGAGTCTTAAAACAAATACTTTTATAAAAATGCAATTTTAAGTAAGATTAACATACATTTCTTCTATATGGAGCAATGGTTTATTAACAAACCATAACTTCAAAAAATCATATCTTGAAAACTACTCGGTATATTTTGTTGAAAATTTGGATTACAAATAATAAAGAGATGCTCTACACGATGGTAATGATGAAAAAAAAAATTACTCGTAGGGTTTTTCTTAGATTATTTCGATTTACTTCGAACTTCTTCGAACACTGTTCGAAGAAAAGTTTGCCAATATTCAATTTCAAATTTTACATCATTCTAAAGGGCAAGTCCTTCGCTTTAAAATGGTCTTTATTTGAAGGAAATCGGCGTAATAGTTATTGAGTAATGATCTTTTAAAGTTAAAGTATTTTAAATTCATTTAAATTAGAAAAAAAATATTTTGTTCAAAGTGTGTGGACTTTTTAAATTTTTTTTTAGTGCATTTGATTTGTCTCACTGAGACGAACAAAATGATATAAAATTTGTCAAGTTGTCACGACATGACTTTTTTTTTTGTCACCTTGTGTAATCATAAATTTTTGTACCTTTAGCAGTGTTAAAACTGTTTGGGAACGACTTATCAGTCCTTTCCCTCATAAATTTCCACTGATTATCCTCAAACGTACACTCAATAATTTTATTATCTAAATCCTTCAAAGTTTTCGTGTACTTCATTTTCGAAAACGGTTTGTCTAAGTGTCCCACATATAAATGCCCGACTTTTCGAGACACAATTCTACAAAACAAGCAAAAATAAAATTGACTAAAAATTCGAGTAAAATACCCCGCCCCCTCCTCCTTCACAATCTTCAACCTAAAATCGACCGAGTTCATATTGAGGGGCTTCCACTTGAGTACTTCGTCACAACGGCCCGGCGAATAGGGCTCTTTCGACGGTTGAAAAATCAAACCGTCGGGCTCGTGCGACAAAGCCTTCGCAAACTTTTCACCTAATAAACTTGCTGCCTGAGTTATCTCCCAAAAATCCTTCTTTCTCACACTGAAAGGTTCGGAGGCCTTGTTAATGAGACCGTTTTCCATCGCCATATAGCGAGGCTTGATTATTTCATTTTCCAAACAGTGCAATCTTGTGGGGTAAAAGGGCATCTTGCCCACGTCTTGACCCTCGAATTTGACAATGTCATACGCCAAGTAGCGGGGAATGTCCTCTCCGTTGACTTTATCAATCACCATTTCCTAAAAAAACACAACTGTTTTTTTCAGTTTCTACAAAATTGAAAAATAGTCACCCCATCAAGTAGGGTGTCTTTCAAATGTTTTCGCAGATCCTTCCTGTGTGGGAAAGTGAGTCCAGTGACTTTAAACGGATTGTGATCGCGATCAAAACAGTAAATTTCATCGGGTCCATCAATGAGCATCATGTATCGAGCCCCGTCAGCCTTCCAAGAGACTCTATAAGGTTTCTGGTGTAACAAAGTTATGTTATTGTTATCCATTGACACGGGTTGACACCCAGGAAAGCCCTTTTTCTTCCATTCACACATAACTTGGACTTTTTTCTGTACTTGGAAAGCTTTCGGTTGTTCGGTGAAAAGTGTCACCCCCGGGACTCCCTCCATGAATTTAGCTTGTGAGACGCCTCTTCGTGACGACCCATAACTTAACAAAAGTCACATTTTTATTACATGAAAAATTTTTAGCTTACTTTGAGGAGGAAGCTTCTTCGCGATTATTTTGCGAGGCTTCAGAATCGTTATCTTCGAAACACCAGTCGGGTAGAGTAGGGGGTGGAGGGGTATCAGCGGGGTCGTCATACCGACTGTACAATTCAGTCAAATAGTCCCCCTTATAAATACCCGGAGGTCTAAAATTGATCAAATTTACTGAAACCAGTTTCGTTTAAATTTGATCAAAAAACCTCATTTTGGCAAACGTCTCAATCGCTAGTTCTAGCTCCATGTCCATTTTTTCAACTAAATATGAGACTATCAGAAATCCGGTCCTGTTAAAGCCATGAGTACAATGCACAGCGATTTTCTCTAACGGGTGATGCGTGATGAAGTTGTGCACCAGTTGAATAAAAGTGTTCGTTTGCTCCTTCGACGGCGTCTCCCCGTGTCCGCGACATTGCAACTTAATATACTTACAACCCTCATCTTCAACTTCTTCCTTGTCATAAAACCTCGTCGTATTCGTTAAATCTATCCACAAGCCAAACTTAATCTGCAACCCACCAGTAGAAAACGTGCATAATTCGACGAAAAAACCAACCTTCTTTGTTTTACACAAATCGAACAGCATTTTCGGAGGAAACCGACATTCGGGGGGCACTAGACTATCAAAACTGTTACTCAAAGGGGTTTTAAAAGCCATGAAATAACCCATTATCAAGTCGGCGGCTTTACGGGGACAGTGCATCCACCGATTGGGCACAGGACCGGGGGCTCTTCGACTCATTCTCACCCACTCTCAGCTGAGAAAGTGAGGTTAGGAGTCGCAACAAAACTCAACAACAGCCACCACACCAGCGAAAATTATGCAAATTCCACCCCAAATCGGTTTCACATTGAACACTGCCACGATTTGCACTCAGACTTCACCCAAAACGGCACATATTGCTTTGTTGACCCATTTGACGACTTGTCACACGAAAGTGGCAACACTGATGTACTTATTTCACCAACAAGCAGTGTTTCCAGCAGGTGTGGTGAAATTTCACCAGATCTGGTGATTTGAAATTTTGAAAATAAGCCAAAAATGTTTTTAAGCACGTTTTTGTACTACAACCTTAGGTTTCTTTGCGAGATTTTGCTAAAAAAACTGAGAATTAAAAAAAATAACTTGAAAAATTGATAGTTTTAGCACGTTTTTCAGCTAGAAACGCAAAATTGGTTAAAAACATGCCAAAAAACACAGAATTAGTTGGAAAATGATATAATTTTTTTCCTTTTTTGAAAGCACAGTTGCGGAATTAAAATTTCGGGCAGTATCTTTCTGTCACTTTCAAAAGTCACTGTAAACTACCTTTTATTGTCATCATGACTGACATTTGACAATTAAACTTTTTTTCGTTATTAAAATTGTTAAATAAACAATTTGCCTAACTTAATTGAACTAGTGTAATTAAATCATCGCTTTGATCTGCTGCCTACCCGTTGTTATGTCTCAAATCACTATTTTTGAAAGTAAATAAGTCAAATTGACATAAACTTGACAAGAGTAAAAACTGAGGTTATTAGTGTAATGTAAAGATTGTTTTAGAGTTTACATTTTGAAAGTGACAATAGTGCCCGAAATTTTAATTCCGCAACTGTACAAGCAAATTTTTAAGCCGAAAACTCTATTTTTTTCACGATGAGAGTTTACCATAGCATTTCAAAAATCACTTAATTGTTATAAAAAAATATTATATTATAATATTTTTACCTAACTCTTAGGCTTTAACTTGATCATTTCGTCAAATTTTCTCGAAGACAAAATAATCGAAAAACACCACATGGGTTAAAAATAGTCCTATTCGTTTTTTTACGAGATATTATTAAACAGAATCGAAAGTAACAACTTATTTATGTTTTTTTCGAATGCTTTTTTCGCTAAAAACACAAAATTTTGTTAAAAACTAGCCACAAATTCAACAAAAAAGCCCAAAAAACGGCGGTTTTTTGCCTTTTTCGAGTGTTTAAGCATGTTTTTGAGAGATGAAAACACTAAAACTTCGAAATATTGCGTTGAAACCGGCTAAAAAATTACAAAATTAAATCGAAATTGATATCATTTTTTAATTTTTTCGTCCGACTTACTTCGTTTTTAAACCAGAGAGTCATTTATTTAAAAAAATCTTATCCAAACACGCCAAAATTCACAAAAATGATTGATATTGATGATAGTTTGTATGTTTCACTCGATTTAACTGATTTTTAAGCAAAATTAAGGCAAAAATAAGCTGAGAAACCACAAAATTTGACCGAAAATGCTATTAAGCGCGTTTTTGTACCAAAATCTCAAGTTTATCACTACATTTCGCTAAAACAAACTAAAAAATCAAGAAATTAAGTCTAAAATTACAATTCTCGAGCATTTTAGCATGTTTTTCAGAAACGCAATTATTTCGCAAAATTTTCTTGAAAACAGACCGAAAAATCACAATTAACCGAAATGCATGTCATTTTTGCTTATTTCAATAGTTTAAGCGCATTTTTAAGCTGAAAACTGCGTTTTTACAATCTGGTGAGTTTTTCAATTCAGATCTGGTGAATTTTATGTTTTTGATTTGGCACACTGCCAACAAGTTATTAGTAGACAAATTTATTTAAAAAGCGCCAAATAAATAAAAGTTTTGTTTACATTTACAATGAATTTAATTTGTCGCTCTTTTGATCTGTCAAGTTACTAAAAAAGTGTAAAAACAACCACCGAGAAATTAAAAAGTGGCGAATTCAAGTTGGCACCCACTACCCGATCGTCAATTGTTTGCACGCCTAACCTCTAAGTTTAGTGTTTGAATTCCGTAGATTTTTCGGTTTTAGAGTGATGCCAGTATGGCCAAATCCAGCAAATCTGGCCGAGGGAGGAAAAAGAGGTCGTCATCTTCGCGAAGCAAGTCATCTAGCAACAAAAAAAGTGGGTCACCTGTGCCCCAGACAAGTCGTCAAAATGCCCCCAAAACGCAAAGTCCGCTCAGTTCCAACTCCGAGACTAGTCCTTTTAAGGGTTTCAACATTGTGGATCCCGTTGAAGACAAGGAAGACTTGTTTGATAGATTGCTAGAGCCAGGATTTGTCAATCTTCACAAAAACATAAAAACGTATTCGAATAAAAGGAAAGCAAGTCGTGCTAATGACACACATTTGTTGGAATTTCATGATTGTAAAAATCGCGAGGAAATCGTTCAGTGGTTGAATGATAACCGAAACGCTTTTGATCGGCTTACCCAAACTCAAACCCAAGATTGCTGTTCAGCGGTCAGTGACACAGCTGCGACTTTTGACATGCCGTCAGTGTCACAACAAAACACCCCCAGTGCCAAAAGAGCAAGAAAACGAAACGTGAAACATCGGCGGAGTCCTTACAAACTCCGAGCACGGTCTTTGGATATCCGCATTAAAAAAAACGGCCCTAGTGGCAGGAGTAAGAGACATTCTTTAGCTGGAGACACCCCCGAGTTGGAGGATTACCACATTGAGGACGCAGTCACAGATGAAGAAGTCTACATTCCTGCCCCAAAAGACGCCATGGAAATAATTGATTTGATGGAAGACGAGTATTTGGATAATATAGAACGGGAAATGTTACAGGACAAGAAGAATTCCAACACATCTGGATGGGAGAGAATCAAAGACATGAGCAGAAGCATCACTCCGAAAAAACCCAAACAATTGGATATCATGCTACTGAGCGGCGATAAAAAAGACACCAATGTGGAAAAGGAGAAGGATAGTTTTCCGTGTTATGATTATGACCTTCTAGAAAAATATTTCATTGAGAATATGGGAAAAATTATGGGCCAAAATGACTCAATTAGTGGATGTACAGACGTAAGTTTCACCCTTCAAAACGCCATAAATGTCGGCAAAAATTTTCTAACGCTGGTGAGAAAATTGAAACACACTCAAAGGGAGCATTTGAGGGAAATATGGCCTTTGGTGACCGAAATCAAACATTTATTTAGCACTTTTGATAAAAATAGTTCAACTCAGACGTCTCCTATTCAAAACTTGGTTCAGAGTGAGCCAAACGTAACGAATATTTCCATACAAACTGATACATTTGCACTCAATAACTCAAATTGCCATAAAAATACCCAAACTGAAATTGCGAAAATAAGTGTTGAAGTCCAAACTGAAAAAATCGACAATGTTCCTCAAGTACTACACCAACCTGAAACTAAGAAAATAAGTATTGAAATCCAAACTGAAAAAATCGTCGATGTTCCTCAAGTATTGCACCAACCTGAAACTAAGAAAATAAGTATTGAAGTCCAAACTGAAAAAATCGATGATGTTCAAGTATTGGACCAACCTGAAACTAAGAAAATAAGTATTAAAGTACAAACTGAAAAAATCAACAATATTTCTCAAGTACTACACCAACCTGAAACTAAGAAAATAAGTAGTGAAGTCCAAACTGAAAAAATCGACGATGTTCCTCAATTGTTACACCGGGAGTCAACTTCAGCCACATCGACTCCATCTGATCTCATGTTTATTGACGAACGTGAGATGGGAGAAGTAGCCAAAGCGTTAGAACCCGGTTTCAGGTCTAGAGACAGTGGGGATGAAGAAACCGAGGCAAAGGAGTCTCAACGTGACCCTTTTGGGGACGATAGTGACTTTGATTTCAATACAGACGATATAATGAAGGGTTGTGAGCAAAAAACTGTAGAGAAAAATAGGGATAGTGGACAGTCTTGTTTGATTGTGACGGATGAAACCGGAAAAGAGAGTGTCAAAGGGGTCAAAAGGGGCCAAACGGAAAGTCCAGTTGGGGGCGAAGGGAGTAAGTCGAAAAGACCGTGTGCGAAATTCATACGTGATGACTTGTCGGTTGCCTTTTCTACATGTGTGGATGACGAGAGTAGAAGAGGGGAGGAAATCGTTTTAATTTCGGAGGAGAGTGACGATTCTGTCTATGATGTAAGTATAAATAGTAAAAATCAGGAGTAAAAATCATTACCAACACAAAAGTGAAATAAAAAATACTATCACAATGTAAGTTGAAACAATTAAAGGGTCTTTAAGGATGGTAGCCTTGAACATTAATTTACATACCAGGTGAATAAAAAGTATGGAACCAAGCGGTTTTTTCATAAACTAAGCACTTTACGAAAAAAATAATTAGTGTAGCGTAAAGTACAATTAAAATGTCACCATTTATCAAGAATAACATTTTTCAAAATTTCTTTTAGTTTTCGAGTTTTGAAAAAAAAAATTTAATGGCAACCCACCATGATAATTTTTTGATTTGATCTAAAAATGACCTCTAATTAAATAAAATTGTTTTTTAGCCCGTACTTTTTTTAAATAAAATGTTAAAGTTGCGTTCCGAGCTCATTACGAAGATTTTCCGAAGTGGTTGTTTCATGTATTTTATTATTGGAGACCCCTGATTTCTATACAGGTGCTTAGACAATTTATTTAAAAAAAGTACTGATTAAAAAATAATTTTATTTAATTAGAGGTCATTTTTGGATCATAATCTTCTATTAAAAAAATTATTATGATGGGTTGCCGTTTAAAAAAAATTCCAAAACTCAAAAACTAAAAGAAATTTCGAAAAACGTTAATTCTAGATAAATAGTCACATTTTAGTTGTACTTTACGCTAACTAATTATTTTTTTCGTAAAGTGCTTAGTTTACGAAAAAAACGCTTGGTTCCATACTTTTTATACACATAGTATGTACTTCAACTACACCACTTAAATGTCATGTTCAAGTGAATTTGTCAATTTGACACTGACTTTTTGGTATAATTTGCAAGTATTTTTCGTTTATTGGTTCATTTCTTGCTTTGTTCTGAGTCTCTTTGGTTTCTTTTAATAATTCCTTACGATTAAGTAACTTCCATGAAATCAGGCATAAATGCACTTGTGTTAGTGTAAAAAATTGAAATAATGAGGGGTCACCGATAAAAATTAGCCCCCCCATCATCCTTTATTTATTCTACAAAAAATGGGACCAATCTTATAAAAAACCATTCAAATGCTGTTGTAGTACTCACACTATTTGAGATATTTGAGATAAATATGAGCGTTGTTTAAAAAATCCATTATTTCATGAAATAATTAACAGTACAAACTGAAATTGATGCATTATTTTGACTCTCACATAAGTAACTTTCTGGTTTTTATAAGATCAGAATAGAAGCTTCTTAACGTTTATTGTTTGTTTTCGAAGGATGTAAGATGCAACTTTGTTTTGTAGACTTCTTAAATTTCAACTTTTTGTTTTTTCTTTCCTGGAAGAATGCATAAGATCGTCTATAGTTTTAAACCCCTAAAAAACTCAATGTAAAAAATTGCTTATCCACGCTCCTTATGTTTATGATGATTCCTATTTATGAAATGCAGATTTTGTATCCGTTTTCTTCTTAACTTACCCACTGTTCTTTAGAAAATCGATTTTACACTAAAAATTCCGATTTTTAGATACAACATCCAAAAACATTGAAAAACATAATGATGTAATAAATACACTGCAGGTAGAACCTCATTTCCAATTTATTACATTAAATTTTAAATGCCTTTGCAAAGAATCGTACAAAGCAAGACTTTTATCAATAAACAACTTCTAACTCGTAGATCGTCAAAAAAATTGACGTTTTGTCATTGCGGTGAGGAGAAACGTCAGATGACGCACCGGTCAACCCCCGTGATTTTTCCCATATGAGAAAATTAATGGAAAGTTTAATCATATTATTGCAGGAATATTTAACTAATCTGCTTAAGAAAAACGCGCAGGAGGTACCGGAACCCACCGAACCAACTCCGAAAACCCGAACACAAGAACAGATTGAAGAATTAGAAAACATAATATACAAAGCTACAAAGCCTACACGTTTTGCTGGACAGAACGAGAAACAAAACACACCAAAGAGTCTCCAACGCTCTAAAATTACAGAAGTAGAAGATGACTTGGATTATTTCAAACCCTATTCCTTAACTGGTGCCAACCTTAATAATAATACAATAAGAAAAACCCGGAGAGATTTGTTCAATTCAAAAGCTGACAAAGACAATCAGTTTTCGGAATCGCTATTTATCAGTGATAAAAACGAAAGTCTTGTGCTTAACAAGACAATAACTCCTAATAACGTTAATGAAATCAATTATAACGACTTTGTGAGCGATCGTGAAGTTGAGGAAATTTTACAACGTGAAAACTCGAAAATTAAAATACTGGAAAACGTATTAGTAAAACCCGCAGATGATAATGCGAGTGAGACTAGTGATGTAGATGTTGTCGAGTCGACGCCTCAGAAAAAAGTCCCGAGTTTCTCAAGAAAAAAGTAAGTGGAAATTTAAGTTTGCAATTTTTAATTATTTACATTTACAGAGACGAATCTCCCCTCAACATAACACTGCCACCACCAATGGAATTCCAAGATTCCGAAAATGTTGATCAACAAGACGAGATACCGAAATTTCAGATTCCGGTATCTCCACGACGCCCTCTGGCTGTGATTAATAAAGTAACAAGCACGCCGATTTCGCAAAAACGCGACACTCAAACTTTACCAAGTCTCTCGCCGATAACAGATTCGTCGGTTCAGGAAAATCGTCCAAAGAACCGAATTTTGGGGCCGTATGAAACAGCTCAACAATCCAAATTTTCTCCTCTGACAATAATTAAGAAACCTCCGTCTCAAACAATTCGTCCGAATCAAACCCCTAAACAGAAAAGCATTTTGAATTATGTCAAGTCACAAGAGAGTCAAGAATCTCAAAAATCTCAGACCAAACCTTGTATCGCTTGTAGTCGAATCAATCGCGATCAAGTAATCGCACTTTCGTCAATGACCAATAGGAAATTAGCATCGTACAGTACGTGTTTTTCCCCGAAAGTAACTCATTTGGTGGTTTCGGTCGACGAGAGAAATTGTTTGAAAGATCATACGATTAAATTTATTTCGGCCGTTGCTGCAGGGATTTGGGTGGTGAGTTTCAAGTGGGTGGAGGAGTGTCTAAAGAAGAATGCTATAGTGCCGGAAGTAAGTTTTTGGGGTTGAGCGGAAAATGGTTTTATTGTGGTTTTGAAGGAACCGTTTGAGGTGTTGGATGTGTCTGGAATACCGGGTCCACGACAGGCGAGGTTGACAAGACAGACAAACCCCCTTTTCAAAGGGTATAAAATACATGCAGCGGCACCGTTTATGTCAACCACGCAAAAGGAGGTTGAGGTAATAGTGCCGTATTTACAAAGCCTTGGTTAAAAGTAAAATTTGTCTTAGAATGTCATAAAAATGCTCGGAGGTAAAGTGGTACCAGCACCGGAGTATTTGCTGGATAAAATGGGGTATATTTGTGTAATTGTTACCCAAGCAAAGGCTACAGAAGATATGGAGTTGTATGAAAGTAAGTCATTGGCGAGTTTTCTGACCTGATTTGATTTTGGTATTTTGTAGCTTGGTTGGAAGCTTTGAAAGTGGTTACAGTGGATCTTGAGTGGTTGAGCCGATCTGTTGCACAGTACCAAGTTCTTAGTTTACGTCCTTTTACGCTGTGTTCTGATAATTCGATTGACTCTTTAGGATATCCACCTGAGTTAGTCGTGGATATGACTTATTCTTTCTCTCAACAAACGTTTAGTACGGTGCATTCGTAACGAATAAGTCTTAAATATTAAGGAATAAAGTGATATTCTACATCATGACGAAATATAAATTATGTTTCTGTTCTTGGTTTTTTATTTCACTAAGAATGACCTAATAAATTGCATCTTATTATTTGTAATTTCTTTTTTCACTTCTCACTTCAGAGTGAGGTAACTTCAAAATAAAACTTATCTAAGGCAGTTTCCGATTATTACCAGATTTTAGTCAAGTAAAAAATTTCCTAAATTGTTAAGTGATTTTTGAGAGGCTGCATCTCAGTGAAAAATGGTAAAAAAACTATTTTGAACCAATAAGTTTCTAGTTTTGAAAAAGTTACTTTTTCCTTTAAATCAATGTTGAGGGTGAATTTTTTTTCAAAAACTTGCAAAAGGATCTTGTAAGACATTCATTCCAGTTTTTGAAACTACCCTTACATTCTCCGTGCGGTCATTGGTTGCTGAGATATCAATGATCAAAGAAAAAAAATCCTTTTTTTATTCAAAGTCAGATATCTCAGCGACAAATTGATATAAAAAGAATATAAAAAAGCAAAATAATGCTAAGTAAACAAGCTAGTCGGCCCATACACTGATTTAACAAAAAAAAATTATCCATGTCCGCGGATCAAAAACAAAAAAAAAACATTTTTTTCGGCCTGTTTTTTAAGATTGAATGATAACCGTAGCTCAGAAAAATGTTTGCCAAAAGATCTAAAACTAGGAACTTGAAACTTTAAAATGTTTTTTTGTGTGCAACTGTCAAAAAAACGTCACTTTTTTTGCTTGATTTTGAGTCTTGAAATATCACATTTGTTTATATGTAGTAAAATAAAGCCTTGACAACGTAAAAAAAATACTTTTTTCGTGTACTTAATAGAAATTGATAACATTGTGCCAAACAGTTATCAAAACTTTCTTACACGGATAACTTTGCTAATAATAATAAGACAATTTCTATTTTTAAAATTATAATTTTCGTGAAGTACACGAAAAAAGTAGGTGTTCAACGCGTAAGAAAAGTGAGTTTTCTAGCTCGGGAAAACTTGTTTCACTCGTTACACTCGTGAATCAATCTGTTTTCACTCGTTACACTCGTGAATCAATCTGTTTTCACTCGCTAGAAAACCATCACTTTTCTTTACTTGTTAAACAATCTACTATTTTTTACCGGCCAACAAAGACTTTTTTACAGGTCTTGAATGAATTTTTTTTCGATTTTTCAGGTAATAATTTTCTTTTTTTTTTCCTTAAAAAGCACAAAAAACAGCACCACTTTTAATTAAATAGGAATGACAGTAATAAACAACAACTATTATGCAAACCCTAGTTATCATACCAAAGCACACTGCTAAATTTAATTTTATGTAAAGATTCGATCGAAACTTTAATTTTAGTAATTTTTCACAGTTGCACCCTGTAGTGTTTGTAGAGGGTGTATTAATAAATGGATATGGAATTCTTTATAAAACTTCTGTATTTTCAAATTATACTTGTATATAAATTAATTTTAACTTGAAGTAACTAACAACAGTAATTCCAATGTGTACTTGATTACTTGACCCAGAACACACCCAAAATTTTGTATGGCCGTGAACTATCTTTTTTTTATTCGAATGATTATTTGCCTCGGCCTTCGCCTTGCCAAATAATATTTATTCTCATAAAAAAAGTCCTAGTTCACGGCCTTGTAACATAAATAAATATTTTTTTAATATAAAAACCACCATTTTTCACTAAAATACAGCTTTGGGAAAATCACAAAAAAATGTAGTAGGTAAATTCTTTTGTTCCTTTAATTTTTTGGAGTAGTGTGGAGTGCACTTGAGGAGCAGACTTTCAAAATATGTTTTTATGAATTGAGATAAAGGTTTTTAAAGTTTTTTTGTAAAATGTATTTCAGCCGTAAAATTAGTGTCCAATTGGTACATATTTTTTCACATTTCTTGTCACTGATATAAAAAATTAAAATTATTTCTTAAAACAAGGACAATTTTTGTTGTCTCCTGCAAAGATGCAAATTTGGACAAAATGCTTTTTAAAAGGCCGCTCCTCACTTATAATTCCTATTTTATTTTTATTGATCATATCACAATTATCTACTATTTGCAAGTTTTTAACAACAGGAAATGGAAAAATACTTCAAACTGGATAAAATCGTTTATCGTTTGATTTCGATTTCGAAAAAAATGCAACTAAGATTGATCAAATGCAAAATGATCGAAGATAAGTATAAGTAATCAAAAAAATTTCTGCACAGCATTATCGATGATACGGATTACAAGACACTCAGGGTAATTTATTACCGTAATCTCTGTTAAACACTGATATAGGGACTTTGAATTTTTTTTCTTGAACTTTAAACTGTTCTCGTATCTTCTACCTACGTAAAAATGACAAACGGAGGAAAAGAATAATCCATTGATAGATCACTTAATCTGATCTATCATTCCATAGATATTTTTGCAAATATATAAGCCACTTCTACAATTTCACAGCACAGTTTCGCCAAAATGAAAGTTTCGGTTGCCTTTTTGTGCATCGCCCTCGTGGCCCTTGCCTCGGCCAAAGTAGAATAATTTTTTGACTTGACAATTTTTAACTCTTATTTCCAGAAACCCGTCTCTAAATTCCTCGCCAAGAAGGACTTTAGTGGCCGCATCATCGGCGGCGACGTCGCCAAAGCCGGACAGTTCCCCTCGGCGGCTGCCATCTATGTGAGCACCAAGGACGGAACTTACTTCTGCGGTGGGGCTCTTCTTGACGAGCAATGGGTCCTAACCGCCGCCCATTGCATCTCCAGGTAAGTTTTGATGGTCGAAATGGGCCAAATTGACTGTTTTTGAAGCGGTGTATCGTTCCAAGTTATGTTGGGGTCCACCACCTTGCAAGGAAATGACCCCAATCGGGTCACTGTGGCAACATCCACTTTTGTTCTTCATCCCCAGTTCAACCCTAGCACTCTGGAAAATGATGTTGGACTCATCAAATTCCATCTTCCAATCACATACACTGGTAGGTTTTTTGGTAAAGTGGTACTGAAGACTAAATTGTATTTTTTAGATTACATCAAGCCTGTGTATCTCCCAACAGTCGACCTTATCGATAATTTGGATAACATAGCTCTTGGATGGGGCCAAACCAGTGATGGTAAAAAACCCCAGTCTTATTGCAGAGTGAATTTTGATTTTATCAAATTTTAGAAAACTCTGGTCTTACCAACCAACTTAACTACGTAACCGTTACCACAATCCCCAATGATGAGTGTCAATTGAGCTTTGCTAATACCATTTTCAAGACCATGGTTTGTGTGGCTGGAAATTACAACGAGGGTACTTGCAAAGTAAGTCCCCAATGGGTTTCTTTTCGCATTTTTATTGCGTTTTTAAGGGTGACAGCGGTAGTCCTTTGATGACAACTTTGAATCACCATCACTGGCATGTTGGTATTTCCACTTTTATTAGTACCAATGGGTGCGAGACTCCGGACCCATCTGGGTACACCAGAACGTTCCCATACATTGACTGGATTAAGAACGTTACTCAAATCCCATAAATTTTGAGACTAATTAATAAATAGATTGTGTTTAAATTAAATTTGTAACAATAAATTATATCGACACCAGAAAATAATAAATTTATTTTTGATAAATAATTATAGGGTGTTTCACATAACTTTACGAGGCTTGCGCCTAATGTACGCACCCAAATATACAAAAATCACAAAACACTAGATAGAAAAAATACACTTCTAACTATTTAATTTTTGGAAACGCATGAGAGTAGTTGTCAAACTAAACTGCAGTTTTTCAGAAACAATTATTATTTGTTCTAATTAACTAAAAACGTAATTTTTGAAAGAGTGAACTAATTAAAAAGAAGATAATTCAATTTTTCAAAATTTGTAATCGTGTTCGTATTTTCGGAATATGTATTATTGATTGCATCTTACAAGCGCAGGCCTCGTAAAATTATGTGAAACACCCTGTATAACAATGGTAAATACCTAAGCGTAACGAATAAGATAAAAATAAAAAGAGCTTCAAGATAATGATGTTTTTTGTTAATGGCGAACTAGATTGTGTATATTTTTGCCATGTGTTGTTTTACATAATTCATTTCTACTAAAACAGAAAATTCCTTCTTATGAAATGTCATCCTGCTTTTTTACTTATTTCTCAAAGAATGTTATGGTAAAAATGAAATAGAAAATAAATATTTTTGTTATATAATGATCATTTCCTCTTTTGGCAGTAGTAGAAAAACTAGATTATTCTACTCCTGTGATATATTCATTGGCGAACTTGTTGCACACTTGTAGATAATAGTGATTAAAATACTCACTTGTTGAAAATAATAATACACTGTTAAAAAATAAGAATGAACTGAAATCAAAAAAATTACGTTACCTATGGTAAAATATCTGAACAGAGTAAAAATTCCATTTATATTTTATCATTTTATCAATAATCATCTACTAGCCACTTGATATTTAGTCATTGTTTTATTCTTATAGTAAAGTGTTTACAATCAATCAGGATAACAAAAATTTAGATAAGGCGTATTTATAAAATCTCAAAATAGACTAGCTATTACTAGTTGTTTTATAAACTCATAAATACAGTTACAATTAATATTTTTCAGTTGATCTTACTTTGGTAAATTCGAAAAAAGCTCAATTAAATGTAAAATTTTCTAAAATGTATTATGTTGTCGACATTAAAATCACTTGGTAACAAGTAAAAACGCTCATTAATAGGGTCATTATTCATTAGGTAATACAATGAGCGCCAAAATTATGAAAAAATCTTATTTATTAAAACTGAAAATATTTTGTTTTGACAAAAATGCTCGAACCGGTCATTTTTTTTAATACAAACTTCTCAGCTTCATTTAAAATTGTGTTTGTTTTTAGTTGATATTACTTATTTCACTTTTTGGATGATTTTTTTTCGAAAACTTTAATATTTTGGTGTTGTCATTTCGATCTATCGAATTGGTGAAAAATTGGTTGAAAAAAATGACGATGACTTCATGCGATACTCAAAAATCAAAAAGTGTAAATTTTTAAATCAAGTTGAAAATTGTATCTTAAAAAGGAAATTGATCTGTTGGAGAATTTTGCAAAAACAAAATACTTTTCGTCATAAATAATTAAAAAAAATTAATTTATTTTAACTCCAGTCCATCAACTGAGAGTAAAATTTTTGATAAGTGTGTCGCTTACACACATTTTTACACAACTTTTCATTAATTCTTACCGAAAACTGTTGCATTCCCATTGGTCACAAGCCTGTATCTTAACGAGTAGATATCATTAAGGTATAGAGAAAAACATTTAACGATCAATTAAAGTGTGGGAGAAGAAAAATTAAATTACAACACCGAAAATTATTTCTTTAAAATATTGATTATTTCCAAGGTCAACGAAGAAGCCCTAAGGCCTAAAATTAGCTGTTGTCCCCTATCAATCATCATCATCTGTACTTTTTAATCTGTTTTCTATGGTTGTGTGAAATAAATTAATAGATTTTTTTTGATTTCAATTTTTTTAATATCAATTTAAATACTATAATAATTAAAATTATAATACATTTAACGATAAGAGTAACTTAACCTAGCCTTAACAATACAAAAGACAAAGAACAGAACATATAATACATTGCAATGATAACAGCCTTGTTTCAGTTCAACGAACAGACAATTTCTTGCGACAATCAGATCGTTTTACAAGTATCATTATATTGCCAAAGGTTATTAAACTGCGCGACTTTATTATCTTTCAACAACTTGACTAAATGATGATTAACATTCGACTCGGCCGCTTTGAGCAACTTCTCCGGAGTATCCGTATAAATCATTTTAACCAACTCCATTTCATTGAACTGCTTCTGTCTATTATTGATCAGAATATTCAAAATTTGCTGTTCTCTCTCCTTCCGGTGTTGGATGTAGAACTCGATTTTCTCCTTCGGACTCTGCAACAACAACAATGTCTTATCAATCACCCAAACAAACTTGAACTTGTCTCACTTACATGGATGACATTGCCGTGACCGGGATAGACCACCGCCGGTTCCAAGTCGGCAATCTCTTGCAACGAGTTCATGTAGTCGTACAAATCTTCAAACACGGCTGTGCCTTCGCCTAAGACACAATCGCCGCTGAATACTGCGTTTTCTTCGACTAGGTGGAGGACGATGTGGTCGGTGGTGTGGCCAGGAGTGTGCACCACGCGCACGGTGGCCCCCTCGACGCTGAACTCCTGACCGTCTTTCAGGAAGTCGATGGTGCAGCCGTCGGGGAGGCTCTCACCCTCGCTTCGCGGGTACTTCCACACCTGGGTGTACTCTACACAAAGGGGGATTTTAGAGCAAAGTTATTTTATAAAATAATTGCTTCAATCTTAATTTTAGGCAATTTGTGATATGTTCAATCGATCAAAGTATTTCAACCAAATACTGGCTTCAATAA